GCTATTGTGAACAATGCTGCCATGAATATAGGTGTGCATATGTCTATTCAAGTGACGACTCTTATTTCTCTAGGATATATTCCTAGGAGTGGAATTGCTGGATCGAATGGTATGTCTATTTCTAGCTTTCGGAGGAAGCGCCATATCATTTTCCAAAATTGTTGTATCATTTTGCATTCCCACCAGCAGTGCATAAGAGTTCCTATATCCTTGCAGCCCCTCCAACATTTGCTATTTCCAGTGTTTTTGATTTGTGCCAGTAATGCCGGGGTGAGATGGTATCTCAATGTGGTTTTAATTTGCATTTCTCTAATGGCTAGGGATCGTGAACATTTCCTCATGCAGGCACACATTTCTTATCTCTACCCAGACGCACTTACTTCCAGGTCACACAGGGGTCAGGAGTGGGTGGCAGGAGTGGGTGGCAAAGGCAGAACTAGAGTTTGCATCTTCCTGCTGAGAGCAAATGATATTGGGGGAGAAGATTCTAGCACTCTGGTCCACCCTGTGGATGTGCTGGAGGTCTCTATGACTATCAGCTTCCTGTGCTCAGGGTCCCTCTGATATGTCCCAGGCTGGAGCTTCCCCATCCCCCTGCTCTGTGCTTCCACCCAGGTAGAGTGGGTGGGGTCAGACTCACTAAGTTCCTCAGGCACCATTGCTTCTCTGCCTCCCCCAGCCCAGCTCCTGAGCCTCACATCATACTGTAAGCAAGCTCAGAGGAGTGCCCAATGCATGCACACTTGAGCCCAACACAACCTCAACCCAGAGCAAAGCCCACCTTTGCAGCGATAGAGGAGAAAGGGCTGGTCTTCAATCCTTCATTCTCGGTCATCATTCGAGACATCTGCAAGCCAAGGCCTGAATCCAGGCAGGATGAGACCCAGGGTTTCACCTAACCCCTTATTCCAGGAAGCTCTCTGAGCCCTCCCCATGGGCCCTAGATGATGATGGGGCCACAGGGTCCCCTAGTGGCCAGTGGTGGAAATAGCGCAGATGAGCTCTCTTGTCAGGATATGAGGGGAATGGTGGTCTTCTCAAGGAGCCTTGGTGGATCAGTGGTTAAGCTCTCAGCTGCTAACCAAAAGGTCGGAGGTTTGAACCCACTTGCTGCCCCAAGGGAGGAAGATGTGGCAGTCTGTTTCCATAAAGATTACAGCCTTGCAAACACTATGGGTCAGTTCTAGTCTGTCCTATGGGGTCACTATGAGTTGGAATTGACTGGATGGCAATAGGAGATGCGTGGGCTCCTCTGGTGTACTTATAAAACACAGGACAGATGTGCCACAGCTGTGCAGCGGTTAACTTAACCCTGAGCCCCTTCTACACTCTTTGACCAAGTCTGAACATTCTGTCTCTATTCTACGGTCCACCTTGTCACATGGTCTAATGGAACACCAGAGGTTATGTAAGAAAAGTACATGACAAAAGGAAAAATACTCCAGTAATAAAATGCCAAATGGAAACAGATGCCCCAGTTTGACTATAAATTTCTTATAAGTTTTAAAAAAATTCTTTGGGTGAAATTAAAGTTCAGGTATAATATCCCTGTGTCATTTAAGTCAAATATCAAAGACTCTTAAATTAAAATCCAAAGAAGTTAAAATTCCAAGTCAAATTATTTGGACCTCAAACCCAATCATTATAGATGAGATCATTCAAACCAACCCTTTTGTTGTGAAATAAACTTTTGGGGAAAATAACAGCCACAGAACTTCAGCTAAGAAAAGCCCTGACAATGGACTGAGGAATTCCTAGGCTGGAATTTGGGGAAGGCAAGAGCCTAGGGAGGGAGCCCGGCAGCCTCTTTGCCCTGGAGCATTTGGCAATCCTACTCAGCACTCAGGAAGCTGACACACAGACAGGGGTCTAAGCATCAGAATGCACCAAATGTGGGTGCTAACAAAGGACCCCCATATTATACTGGGTCTTCTAAGGGCTATGTTGTTGTTAGCTGCTGTTGCTACAGCCCCCAACTTATGACAACCTCATGCATGACGGAATGAAGTGCTGTCCAGTCCTGCGCCATCCCCATGATTGGCTGTGGATCAGACCAATGTGAACCACAGGGTTTTCATAGGTTGATTTTCAGAAGTAGATGGCCAGGCCTTTCTTCCCAGTTCATCTTAGTCTGGACGCTCTGCTGAAACCTGTTCAGCATCACGGCAACACAAAATCCTCCACTGACAGATGAGTGGAAGCTGCACATGGCTTGCGTTGCCTGGGAATTGAACCCGGCAATCCTGATGAACCAGAGGTGATCCAGGACACCTCAAGCCCTGAGTTCTGACTCAGGTGGCCCCAGATTGTTTATACCACGCCCCCTCGACACTTCGCATAACCAATAGAAAATCCTCTCTGGAGAAAGACTCCTCCATCCTAGACCAAAAATCACTTGTGCAAATATATCATCTGGCACCAAGTCAAAGACAATCAAGCTCATCAAGAAAAATACAAACACCATGACTGAGAAGCAGGAGGAAAAGAAAATCAATAAAAACAGCCCCACAAAGATTCCAGGTGCTAAAATTATCAGGCAGACTCTAAAACAACTATGTTTCTTAAGTTCAAAGAAATAAAGGATAATTTTGGAAAATGTCATCCGGGAACTAGCTAGTAACTATAAAAAATGACATAGCAGATTGCCAAAGAAACCAAATAAAAATTCTTCCAAGGAGACGATGAATGGTTGTGCTTATCAAGGACTGAGTCTTCGTTAGACAAGTATAGCGTGTGTCGGCATAGGCACTGGAGTTGAGCTGTGCAATGGGTGAGCTCACATACAAGACAGCTTACCATCTAGGTTGTATAAGGAGGAAAGGCAGCCAACAGGGCTGAGGGACAGTGACAATGCCTTCGGGGGATTCCCAATATACTGCTTCCAAGTAATTCCAATCAATGCTTCCAAGTGAAGTCTAGTGTTGCCCTAGAGAATCCAGGCAGAAGTTAAGAGTAGAGGATGTGGAGACAAAGTGTATCATCAGAAGTGGTGATTGGATCAGGGGAATCAATTAGTTCTTCGTTGTTGTTGTTGTTAGTTTCAAGGGAGTTGGTTCTGGCTCAAGGTGACCTTACATATAAAGGGATGAAATGTTCCCCAGTCCCGCACCATCTTCATGATAGTTGAGATATTTAAGTTCATTTTTGTGGCTATTGGGTCAATCCATCTCACTAAGCATTTCCCTCTTTTTTGCTGACCCTCTACTTTGCCAAATATGATGTCTTTTTCTAGCAACTGGTCTTTCCTGATGACATATCCAAAGTAAGTGCGATGGTTAAGATTGTGTGTCAACTTGGCTGGGCCATGATTCTCAGTATTTATATGTGATAGCCCCCATGGTGGAATCTGCTGTGAGTAGCCAATCAGTTGAGAGGGAGTTCCCTTGGGCGTGTGGCCTGCATCAGAATATAAGTGGACATTCTGGCTTTTGCCTGCTCTGGATCCTGCATCTGGCTCCTGTTCTTCCGACTTCCAGTTCTTGGGGCTTAAGCTAGCAGCTTACCTGCTGAAATTGGGATTCATCGATCTTCACAGTCTGTCAGAAAGAGCCCTGCTCTCTGACCTGCTGATCTTGGGTTCACCATCCCCAGCAGCTACTTGAATCAGGAGAAGCCACCATCCTGATCCAAGCATTTGGGATGCTCCAGCCTCTACAACTGCATGAGCCATTTCCCTTATATAAATCCATCTCTATATATATTTATATGCTTTACTGGTTTTACTTCTCTAGAAAAGCCAGCCTAAGACATTTAGTACTGAGAGTGGTTCTAGAGAAAAAAATGGTGAGGATGAGTTTTATAAATTTGTTCTCAAGTCTCATTAGTCTTAAAGATGTTGATAACTCTGCTTCCAGCAGTAAAGAGGGCACTGTTAACCGATGTTATGAGGTGACAATTCAAATATGTAAAATATCATCAGCAATAGATCAAGTATTGGTGAAAGGCAAGGCTCTGGGTGAACACATGTGTGATGTCTTTCTACGGTTTTGTCAGAATGAGAAGTACAAGGAAGTGGTCCAAACGCCCATGGTCTCCACTCCTGTCACATTATCTTCCATCTCCCAGTCTGCACCTATGGCCTCATGAAGATTTCCTTATGATCAGTTGACTGAAGAAGAGAAAAGGTGCCTGATTACAGGTTGTTCTGAGAGATATGCAGGCACCACTTAAAAGTGAACAACAGCAGCACGACAGCCTCTTTCTGGGACTTCATACAACCAAGAAAGAAGCACCAGGAGCAGACCACATCCTTTAGACCTGGGCTTCCTGCATGGAGAAGCTCCTAGTCCAGGAGAAGTTCAATGACAAGGACCTTCTTCCAGAGCAGATAGAGAAAGCCTTCTCTTGGAGGTGATGCACTGAACTTGGACTTGCTGCCTGCTAGACTGTGAGAGAATAAACTTCTGTTTGTTGAAGCCACTCACGTGTGGTATTTCAGTTATTGCAGCACTAGATGACTAAGACGGTAAGTGAGTCAAAGTCTTGCCATTCTTGCTTCCAAGGAGCATTCTAGTTGTATTTCTTCTAAGACAGATTTGTTCCATCTACTGGCAGTCCACGGTATATTCAGTATTCTTCACCAACACCACAATTTGAATGCCTCAATTCTTCTTCCATCTTCCTTTTTCATTGTCCACTTTTGCATGCGTATGAGTCAATTAAAAAAACCACGGCTTGGGTCAGGTGCATCTGAGTCATCATCAGAAGTGCTTACTAAGGAGTATTTGAATGCACTAGAAACTATTTTAATGCACAAAGACAGACAGCTGGCAATGCCCTTGTTGAGTCTCTGGAGACCCCCATGCTATCAAGGACTTCTGGAGGAGGCCTTCCTGGCGTCAGGGCTCGTGAGCACAGGGCAACCTCAGCCCCTCTCACTGCCCTTTTTGTGTGGGGTGGAGGTGGCTGTGCAGCACTGTGGGGATTGCTGGTGCAGAAGTACACAACTGTCTGTGAGGGTGCGGCCGACCCCAGCAATAGGAGGAAATGCTGTATGTTTGATCTGGAGACATTGTACCCACTGGGGATGTCACCTTTGTAGGTTTCACCAACACCAGCAGAGTAGTGCATCAGCTGCATCCCCAGTGCCGGGTCTTGTAGGTACCAATACATGTAGTCGTTGTTTATGTCCGGGGTGCATTGCAGGGTCACGTACCCTCCTGTCTTTGTGATCTTATGCCTTGGGGACTGGATGATGTCAGCATCTGTGTTCCCTGTAACAGAGATCAGCAGAGGCTGATATTCTGGTCCCAGGAGAAGGGCTTGTATTAAGGCCATGGGAGGCCCAGGGAAGGAGGTGCATCTGTGACCAGGAATCACCTGCCACAGGACACAGAGGGCCACAGGGAAGAGGAGCCTGGAGCCACCACAGCAGAGGGAGAATCTATGTCTCCGGGCTCTGTCGTGGGAAGTGGACCCTCAGTGGAGACACTCAGTGACATCATTGTCCCTATGGGTGCTTGGGCCTCGGAGTGAGGCAACCATGCTCCTCCTCACAGGAACAAATCAATTATAGATGTATAGCTGAACAGCACAGAATGGAAGGATTTGCAGCTCTGTTTGTGAAGAACTTTATAAGTGTATATGCCCTGCCCTGACTTTTAAGGAGGTATTCGGTTTCTCTATGCACATTTTATTCCCATTATGAAACAATTCCTCAATAAAATACTGTTTTTAATTTTTCCCAATATTTCTGTAGTCTGGGGAAGATCCTCATAGTATTCCCAGCCAATGCCCGTCATGCGCAGCCCCACCCATCTGTCAGTGGAGGCTTGTGTGTTGCTGGGATGCCAAATAGTTTTCAGAGGAGCTTCCAGACTAAGACGTACTAGGAAGAAATTCCTGATAATCTACTTCCAAAAAATCAGCCAATGAAAACACAATGGATCACAGTAGTCCCATCTACAACTGATCATGGGGATGGTTCAGGATCAGACAGTGTTTTGTTCCATTGTGCACAGGGTCATCAAGAGTTGGAGGTCAACTCTACAGCATCTAACAACAACAACATGGGCATAGGAGTTGAGCTGTGCAATGGGTGAGCTCACATACATGATGGCTTGCAGTCTAAGTTGAATAAGGAGACAAGGGTGGCCAGGCAGGGCTGAGGTACAGTGGCAATGCCTTCAGGAGGATTCCCAGTAAACTGCTTCCAAGTAATTCCAACCAAGGCTTCTGACAAATTTCCAGTGCTATCTTGTGGAAACCAAGCAGGAGTTAGAGTAGAGGACGTGGACCTGGAAACTAAGTGTCAGGTGACTTGATTGCTTCAGATCTTCTTACTAAGGACCATTTTAATGCACTGAGGGGCCGTTTTATTGCACAAATACAGTCAGCTGGAAATGCCGTCAATATCCCCAGGACTGGCTGGCCGAAGCCTTTAGATGGTGTTGAGCTGCGTGGGTTACATTGAAGAGCATGACCCCTTTGGAGTGAGTAGAATTCATTCTGAGCCATGATTTGGGACTAGTTGCCAGAATACCACTTGCGTGCATTTTCTGTTCTTGGCAAAAGGCTGAATAAAATGGTGGAAATTATCGTCGTCATCATTAACAACTTTGTTATTAACCTATCTCCAGAAAAGCAAGAAAGAAATATTTTCGAACACAAACTATGGTCTGATACTCTGTGACAGAGAATTTGCAATGTAAAGGCATAGGAGCAGGTAGAGAGTGAAGGTGTTATCAAGGATTTCAACTCATCTCCTCCAGACGGCAAGAATAACTACAGGGAGAGATGGCTGCTGGCTACTCACTATAACCCACAGTTGAGATGATTTAAAGTTTGTTTCATGTGTTTTGTAATCACACAGTTTTCTAGGACAACAATCATCACTACTCGGAGGGGTGATTCTGGATCTTGAGTCATTGTCGAGACAGGATTCAAATCCCTGAGTCACAATGACCCCCAAGGACAGATTACCCAATAAGCAAGGTAAAAACATGCTTAGGACATCAACAAAACAAGGGCATTGTTGCCTAAAGCAGAGACTCATAGATGTCAAGCAGACGGGACACAAAGAAAAGTGAGCGCTGCATTGAAAGGGAAAGGGCAGGGCACTAAATTAAACTGATACCAGCTCCAGTGCAGGAGAATGTGCCAGCCGGAAATAAAGTTCATGCAGGGTCACAAGGGTGCCCACACACAAAATTGTTTAAGTTACCCCCTACCACTTCAACACCTTCATTGACGTCGGTCTTCTATGGTTCCCCACTGTGTAATTAAAACTCCTTATCTCGGGTGGGGTCTCTTGGGAGTATGCTATTCTTTTCAATAAACAAGAGGTGGGGATGGGATGTCAAGCCTAACTTTTGCTACTCTTGCAACTGGATCCAACATGAGTGGTTAGTGGGCAAAGATGGATTGTATTATTAGATAACAGATTTTCGATCAGTTTAAGAGAACCGTTTTGTAATCCACATTAACTCTAACCAGGAGGACCAGCAATGCTCTTTGCCATGATACAAACACAAGGGTATGCTCTTGTGCACATCCTGGTAAACAACCAATGGGAACTCCAGTCCCGGATGATGCACAAAAGCAAGAGGACTCGAATAACTAGGCCATTGCAATGAATTCAGTCAAGTTACTTTTTAACTGTATAGCATTTACATATAGAGTTATGTCCTAAGTATTGTAAACAATAATATTTATAACTAACTTTAAAATATGTTTGGCAAACACAGACACAATGTAGCATACATTTAATATAATACTAACTTGGCTAATAATTTAATATAATACTACCATAGCAAATGCCAAAAACGTGTTGGAAATATTAATATTTATCCAACTCAAAAAGTTTGTTGTATTCATGTATCAAGTGAGTTTCATTTTTTATTGTCTGTTGCACAGGACAAAGTGCTTGATATTACTCTATAAATGCTAATAAATGAGGTATTCGGTACATTAAGAGGACATAAAATTCAATATTTGTTTATTCTGCTAAATATGTTTCTGTTTTGTCACAAGGAGTGTGTTTCTAAATTTGTCTCCCAAGAAAGCAACAAAGAAGGTTTATTAGAACATTATACTTAGACGTTTTTTCAGAATACTTACTGATCTCCGTGTAAGGAAAATGAACAATTTATCAAGGAAATATATTAAGTGAATACTTAGATAATAAAAATTATGTAAATGTATTTTATTATCCATTTCCCTTCTGACTGACTTTCTTTTAAGAAACTGATTGATATTGTAATGACTCCAGAAACAAACTTGCTCGTCGAGAAGTGGAGGTATTCTTAGATCACTTACGTACATATGTCTAAATATGGGAATTGAACTATTCCACAGGGAAACAAAACATACAGTTTATAAATTTTGAATACAGTAACAGTTTTACTTCCCTCTTCACTTCAGACAGGTTGTGTATAACCCCACCTTCCTATCCCGTTGGAATCCGTGTGCAAGCAGAGGAAAGGGCACCACAGATTATCAGTGTTTAGGACCCTCACATGCCTTAATTCGGCCCTGATGACCTCAAACAACATTTGCAGTGCTCATGTATCAAGAAATAATTCCTACCCTCTCTTTACATAAATTGAAGGAGATGTCCGTAAACTCACTTCCTTTCTTGGAAAGCGAGGAGCAAGGTAACGTCTCTGTTTCTCACTCCTGTGGGCTGAGCGGAGAGAAGCACTCATTTTGTGCACAGGAAGGATGTGTCTCTGCCACACTGTGGCTAAGCTGCTGGCACAGAGGTACACGGCCGAGTCCCCCGGCTCTGCCGCCTGGATCCTCAGGGTGGAGTCTGCTCCTTTGAGCCTCTCTGCAGAAAATCGGTTCTTAGGCAACTGTGCATCGTCCAGCACAGCCTCATTCTGAAAGTTAACCAGGAGCTCGGGGCCCTGTCCCGGCATCTGTCGGTACCAATAAAGGGTATTGTGGCTAGAAACAGGATCACACCACAGTGCCACGGACTGTCTGACCTCAGTAATCTTATGTCTGGGGGTCTGGACAACTCCAGCTTCTGAGTGTTCTGCAAGGAAGAGACAATTTGAAAATGGAAAGAAGGAAATGAGTGGAGTGATCACGGGGAGTCCACTATGGAGATCTTGGAGTCCAGGGACTCACCTGCCCCCAGGAGGCAGAGGGTTGCCCAGCAGAGGAGCCTGGAGCCCATGCTGGGTCGGGCAGGACTGGGGGGTTTGCCAAGTCAAAGTGTTTGTGCACATGAGCAGAGGAGGGGGACGTCCCTTTCCCCACAAGGCAGGTGACGTCACTGTCTCATCAGTCCCCACATCGTAGAAACCGTTACAAATTAAAATGTACCTAGAAGATGCTTTATCATGCCCATGGACTGCTGTAAGCTTGTCCCAGGGCCCCCACCCAGAGCTCCAGGACATCTCTGAGCCTGTCCTCCAACCCTCTGCCGACGTCCCTACCTAGATGCACCAATAAACCAAAACCAAACCCGTTGTCTTCGAGTTGGTTCTGACTCACAGTGACCTATAGGACAGAATAGAACTGCCCCGTAGGGTTTCCAAGGAGTGGCTGGTGGATTCAAACTGCCAATCTTTTGGTTAGCAGCCAAGCATTTAATCGCTTTGCCTCGAGTTTGAGATACCGATGAAGGGCCTCTTGGTCTCACCTGTGGTTATACTTCTCTTTGGCTTCTCCTTTTACCAGCCTCACAGGTTCAGAACACCGTCAGACCAGGTGGTGGCTGGGTGATCACCTAGCCTTGTTCTAGAAGCACATTGAACTGACAGACATGGGGGTGGTGTGAGCCTTGCAGAGTGGCAGCCTGAGAGGAAGGGCCTGGGGATCAAAGGGGTGGAGAGGAGGCCGACTATGAACTAAGGTTGTGCAGGGAAAGGGGGAGAGTGTGCAGGCTCTGGGGCTGTCAAGGGCATTTCCCTTCCTGCAGCAGAAAGAAACTGCAAGCCAGGGCGTGAGGTGAGCTCTAGTGAGGCTGGGGCTTCTTGGGGACTCTGAACACTTGAAGGCCCTGTGCAGGTCAGGGCTTCTGGTGGTGGCCTTCCCAGGGCTGGGGCTCACGAGCACAGGGCATCCTTAGCCCCTCTAGCTGCCCTTTTTGTGAGGGGCTGAGGTGGCCCTGCAGCACTGTGGGGACACTGCTGGCGCAGAAGTACACAGCTGTCTGCGAGGGGGCGGCCAACCCCAGCGTGAGGGGGAAGTTCTCCGTGTTTGATCTGGAGACACTGTACCCATCAGGGACGTCGCTTTTGTTGGTGATGCCAGCACCTGCTGAGTAATGGATCAGCCGCAGCCCCAGTCCCGGGTCTTGTCAGTACCAGCACATGTACTCGTAGTTCATGTCCTGGGAGCATTGCAGGGTCACATTACCTCCTGTCCTTGTGACCTTGTGCCTCGGGGTCTGGGTTGCCTGTAACAAACAGCAGCAGACCTGATGCTGTGGTCCCAGGAGAAGGGCTTGTATTGAGGCTGTGGGAGGCCTCCGGAAGGAGGCACATCTGTGACCAGGGCTTACCTGCCCACAGGACACAGAGGGCCACAGGGAAGAGAAGGCTGGGGCCCATCCCAGCGCAGGGAGAATCTGTGTCTCCTGGCTCTCTTGTGGGATGTGGACCTTCATTGGAGACTCTCATGATGTCACTGTCCCTACAGGTACTTAGGCAGTGGAGCTCAGCAGCTATGCCCCTCCCCACAGGAACTAATCATAGATGCACAGCCCAGCAGCTCCAAATGGGAACATTTGTAGCTCTGTCTGTAAAGAAGTTTATCTGCATATATACCCTGTCCCTGGCTTCTGGGAGGAAATTTGTTCCTCTATGTGTATTTTATTCCCACTATGATACAATTCCTCATTTGTGTTGTTTTTGAAGTCTCTGGGTGGCGCAAAGGATTAAGCACTCAACTACTAGCTGAAAGTTTGGCAGTTTGAAGCCACCCAGAGGCACCTCGGAAGAAAAGCCTGGTGATTTCCTTGTGAAAGGTTAAGGCCTTGAATCCCCTATGGACCAGTCTACTCTGCACACGTGGGGTCTCCATGTGTCACAGATAATTCATTGGCAACTAACAACAACATACTATTTTTACTCTTTCATGATATTGCTGGAGTGTAGGGAGGATCCTCATGGCCACCCTGATGACTTTTATGACCTGTTTGAGCAAAAGTCTCCTCCAGGAACTTTTTACCAATTTTCCTCCTCACCCAGACTATGGATCACTGGTGTCAGCCTACAGCGACCCCTCTGTTAAAAGAGCCAGCCTGACAGCAAGTTTTCAGGGGTGAAGACTATGTTGCGCCATCTCCAGCAGTTCACAGAGCCGCTCTCCATGCGTGGCTCCCCTGTGCTCTTGTGGGCCAGGTCCTCCCTTGTTTGGGATGAGGTTGAGGGGACTGGGCTGCCTGAGTCCTTGTGACTGTGCTGGCCTTGAGGAAAAGAGGGTCTTTCATGATGCAAATGAGGTGTTCACAGAGAGCCTCCTGGATCACAGGGAAATGCTCTGTCTCCATTCAGAAAGTCTTGTCCCCACCAAGTGGAAGAATATCAATTGAGTCAGAAGCTTGCTGTAGCTCAGAACTTACATGTAGTCAACAACAGTATATGTTACAGTTTCATATATAAGCCATCACTCAGTCAGGGCTACTTTTGTGGGCACATATCTTAATGTAATCTTTGCAAAAGGGAGACAGTTGAATCTCAAGTCATCTGCTTCTTCAATGTGTTATCACGTTGTATTGCTGTTGTTAGCTGCCACTGAGTTGCTTCTGACTCACGGAGACCTCCTGTGTTAGAATAGAAGTGCTCCATATGGCTCTATTTTATTTTTTTTCTTTCATTATTGTGCTTCAGATGAAGGTTTACTGAACAAATTATTTTCTCATGAAACAATTAATACACATACTGCTTTGTGACATTGGTTGCCAACCCCACAACCTGTCAACACTCTCCCCTTCTTGATTTGGATTTCCCATTTCCATCTGTCCAGCTTTCCTGTCCCTTCCTGCCTTCTTGTCCTTGCCCCTGGGCTGGTGTCCCATTTAGTTTCATATACATGGTGTATTATCGTTTGTTTTATGGGCCTGTCTAATCTTTGGCTGAAGGTTGAACCTCAGGAGTGACTTCAGCACTGAGCTAAAAGGGTGTCCAGGGCCATGCTCTCAGTTTCTCCAATCTCTGTCAGAACAGTAAGTCTGGTCTTTTTGTGTGAGTTTGAATTTTGTTCTACATTTTTCTGCAGCTCTGTCCGGGACCCTCTATTGTGTTCCCTGTCAGAGCAGTTGGTGGTGGTAGCTGGGTACTATCTAGCTGTGCTGGACTCAGTCTGGTGGAGGCTGTGGTAGTTGTGGTACATTAGCCCTTTGGACTAATCTTTCCCTTGTGTCTTTGATTTTCTTCATTCTCCCTTGCTCCAGATAGGGTGGGACCAATGGAGTATCTTAGATTGCTGCTCATGAGCTTTTAAGACCACAGACACTACTCATCCATACAGTTTTCTTGACTGTAAGCTTTATGGAAGCAGATTGGCAGGACTAAATTCTGTAGTGCATCTAGGTGGGTTTGAACTGCCAACCTTTTGTTTAGTAGCTGAGTGTTTAACCATTTGCAGTACCCAGCGACTCTGTTCTTAAAGATAAAGTGTGAGATTTTTAAAATTAAGTCTTGTTTCCTATATTCCAAGGATTTTTTTTTTTTTACATAGTAGGTATTCCAGAAATTAATTCAGTAACAACTATCCTACGAATAAACTACAGCAGATTTTTATGAACAAGAGTACAGCAAATTAAAACTCACTCTCACGCCTTGCATTTTCTGGTCTGTGTAGCTGGGGGTGCTAAGTATGCTCTTGGCACCCAGAAACCCCATTCCTGTTGAGTTGATTCTGACTCATAGAGACCCTGTAGGACAGAGTAGAACAGCCCCATAGGGTTTCCAAGGCTGTAATGTTTACAGAAATAGACTGTCACATCTTTCTCCTGCTGAGCAGATGGGTAGGTTCGAACCTCCGATCTTTCAGTTAGCAGGTGAGTGCTTAACCACTGCGCCACTAAGGATTCCTCCTGGCACAAAGGAAAAAAAAAAAAAAAAACCCAAACCCATTGCCGTCTAGTTGATTCTGACTCATAGAAACTCTATAGGACAGAGGAGAACTGCCCATGAGGTTTCCAAAGAGCTGCTGGTGAATTCAAACGGCCGACATTTTGGTTAGCAGCCGGGCTCCTAACCACTGCCCCACCAGGGCCACAGGTACCCTTAAATGCCCTCTAACACTCTTGCCTGTATTGCAAGAGCTAGAAGCCTTGAATCTCCATTCCCCAGAGTCCTCTGACAGCACATTTCTGGAAAGAGTTTAGCTTCTTCCAATAAGCTACATTGGGGAAAATTTGGCAGACAGAACAAAGAGGTTTCATCCATGGCAGCAGATGGGTGCTTTGCAAGGGCCTCTGGAACCTTCCCTGTGAATCACCTACAAGGTGGCTGCAGGTCCACTCTGACCCTCAGCTGTTTTCTCTAGCTCCTGACCTGGGTAACTCTAGCAATTCAGATTTCTGATCGTTAGTGATGGGACTGAGAGCAGGCTGCAGCCTCCGCAGGCCCTCCCTCCCCAGCCCTTCTGATGTTTTGAGAGTGCCAATTCCCTGTGTTAGCTCCCACCCTGCCTTCAATTCCTCGTGGGCTTCTGTTTTCTTAGCTGAATCCTCTGTGGTCTTGGGAAGCCCCCTAGTTACTTAGTCCTGGATTAGGAGAACGTCATGACTCTGCTCCGTGTGAAACGGGGCAGAGGGGAGCATCTTCCTACTGAGTCACAGCTCGGGACACACACCTGTTCTCTGGCTGAAGCTTTAGGTGCTGGAAGTCAGGGGACTAAGCGGCAGTAACCAGACACCACGACCTGTGATTGCCCACACCTGCTCAGCTGGTCTCCACAGGAGAGAGGCATGCTCCATCACATCTTGTTGACCGAGACACTATGGGACTTAGGAAACACTCGTTTTGGAGTGTAGAGACATAGGCTTGAATCCTGGCTCTGATATTTGTAATATGAAGTATGGGCAGTCTCCATGAGCCACAGCTTCCTGTCTGTAAAATGATGTGAGATGTCCTTATCTATAAAGTGGACACAATAATGTCCTTCCTTGTCCCCTACTCTCTCCCACAGAGTAGGCACCCTGCCGTTTGCTAGGATTGAAGGGAGCTGGCGAGAGCTGAGAACCTGAGTGAAGCGGTGGTCAGGGAGCACCAGCCATGCTAGGTGGCAGAGAGAGTAGGAGGAGGACCGCAGCACCGCAGGGGCTGGGCGGCCACCCTGCTCGCCCTCCCTCACGTCCCCAGCAGAGAAAGGAGGTTTGGGTGCAGGTGTGAGGTGGCTCTGCAGGGCTGTGCTGGGCTGCTGGCACAGAGGAACACAGCCGAGTCTCCCTGCTCCAAGGCTCTCACGTTCAGCTCCGAACTGTCATTAGAGAACTGTTGGGCTGAGAACCGGCCCTGGATGTCACCTTTCTCTTGCTGTTCTCCTTTGTATAACTCAAAGAGGAACTTGGGTCCCTGGCCCCGTGTCTGCTGGTACCAGTACACGCTTCTGTGTCCAGAGGCCGGGTGGCATTGCAGAGTGGCTTGTCCCCCCTTTTCTGCTATGAGGTGTCTCGGGGACTGGACGACGCCAGTATCCACGGGACCTGTGCGGAAGAGGACAAGCTGGAGCCTAGCTTATAGGAGGCTGATGCTCAGCAGCAACTGAGACCTGTGGGTTCAGGGACGTCCCACCCGAGCCCAGGACTCACCTGCCCCGAGGAGACACAGAGCTACCCAGCAGAGGATCCTGGAGCCCCTGGTGGGGTCAGGTAGGAAGGAGGTGGGCATCTCCTGCTCAGGGCTTCCAGAGAGAGGGCTTGTCCTACCCTTCCTGTGACTAGAGTGTCCCCGTGACACTGCTGTTCTGACATCACCATCCCTGCAGGATCATAAGCACTCCCTCCACCCCCTGACAGCACAGGCTTATTGCACCCAGGTCCTCCCCTCTGTCCAGCTCCGGTGGAGCAGGTGGGGCCAGCAGGCCGAGGTGGCCAGGCAGGGTTGGGACAGTAACCATCCCCACACCCTCTCTGATCTTTCTCTGAGACTGTTGATCCTTGGCATGCACCTGGCCTTGGTTATCCTGGGGGACTGCCTCCTGAAAGCCCCTCATGCCCCCACCAAATACAGGCTCCAGAGGGCTCCCTCCCTCCTGTGGCGAATGGACCTGCAGATTATGTCAGTGAGTGCCAGAAGACTTTGTTTAACCCCTCAGACCTCCCATTAGCCTGGTTCCTCAAAGAGGCTCCCCCTGCCAGGGCCCAGCCAAGACTCCTCCTTAAGCTGAATCTCCCACACAACTGTCAGCAGCTCTCCATGGAGCCACAGTGCCCTCAGGCGGCCAATGGTGTGGCCACAGAATGCAGCTCTATGATGTGGCCCAGGGAGGCTGGGCATCACCAAGGAGGCAGGACACCTCCCAGGACTGCCAGGAGCCAGCCCATGTCACGTTTTCTGCGTCCATTCCAGTACAGGCTTCCCAGCAGAGAGGGAGGCACAAAGCAAACATTTGCCAAAAAGGAGAAAACAAATCCTAAATCTCATCAATTAGCGCTCTAGACAGGGAGATACCAGCCAGTCATTAGATGCCAGCTGCCTTGGGAAGGGGGTGGGGCGCCTCTGCAAAGTCTCTCTTTAATCAAAGGTAATTCCTGGAGAGGGCAGGCCCTGGTTCTATCAGCTGAAAAATCTTCTCTGCGGCTGGCTGAGTAACCCTGAAGGGGAAACTGCCCACTTGTAGGTCTTGTTTTGTGAATACCAGTTCAACTCTTTTGCTCTTTTGTACTGAATTTGTTATGGAACCCAGAAAGGTGGGTCCTTGTCTGGTGAGCTCAGACTTGCCAATGATCTGGACGCTTGTCTTTGAGAAAGAGAAAGTAAGTTTATTGCAATGCGCAGAGCAAAGAGCAGGAAGGACCTTCCTCAGATCCAGCTCCTTCAGTTATGGGCAGGCCGGGCTTATATGTGATTTGGGCAGCAAGATGAGGGTCGCACAGGTGTTCTGGAGGGGGGGAATTCTAGAAGGCGGCCAGTAAACAGGAGGTGACTGGTTCTTGCTGGATCTCTCACTTCAAAATACAGTCCAGGTGATGATTTTCCTTCTGATTCATTCCTCCTGTTGCTGGGTCCTCTATTGAGGTCAATTAGTGGTCACAGCTGGCCCAGCACATGCAGGGTGGGCCAAATCTGACTTGCACTAGTTTAAGGATTAGTGGAAATTTACTGGCATTCGTAGGGTCGGGTTACAAGTTTGCTTGCCATTTTATGTTTGATTTGTAGGAATTCTTTATATTAGGGATTTAAAAAAAAACTAGTTGCCATCAAGTTGACTCCGATTCAAGGTGACCCCACATGTACAGAGTAGACCTGCTCCATAGGGTTTTCAAGGATGTGATCTTTCAGAAGCAGATCACCAGGTCTTTCTTTTGAGGCACCTCTGGGTGGGTTTGAACGGCTAACCTTCTGGTTAGTAGTTGAGTGCTTAACTATTTGTGCCACCCAGGGAATATGTTTAGTTGTTGTTGTTAGGTGTCTTCAAGTCGGTTCTGATCAGAGAGACCCTGTGTACAACACAGCGGAACACTGCCCGCCTCCTGCGCCATCCTCATAATCTTTGTTATGCTACAGCCCGTTGTTGCAGCCACTGTGTCAATCCATCTGGTTGAGGGTCTTTCTCTGTTTCGCAGACCCTCTGCTTTACGAAGCATGATGTTCTTCTCCAGGGACTGATCCCTCCTGATAACATATCCAAATTATGTGAGACATAGTCTTGCCATCCTCACTTTTAAGGAACATTCCAGCTGTATTTCTTCAAAGACAGATTTGTTTGTTCTTCTGGCAGTCCATGGTATGTTCAGTATTCTTCGTCAACACCATAATTCAAAGGCCTGGTCATTTACTTCTGAAAATCTGTCATTTAGAACCTTACAGATCACAGTGGTACAGTCCAGTCCACAGTCCCTCATGGGGATGGCGCAGGGCTGGACAGCATTTTGTTCATTGTTTATGGGGTCGCCATGATTCCGGGGCCAACTCACTGCAACTAAAAGCAAGAACAACAACCACCACCCAATAATACTAAAGTTCGGGTGACTTTATGTAATCGTTTTAAAGTTAGAGAATCCCAGGTCACTCCGGGAGTTTAAAGCTGCTCAGGGGCCCTCCTACTTTGCTCAAGTCCCTTGAAAAGAAAATGAACCATAAATTTCAGATTGGGAGTGGTTGCAATCTGCTTTACCCAGATACCCAGATTATTCCAAATTGATGAAGTCGCATGAAGGGTTATTTGTATTTTCTCTCTCTCACACACACTCATGCACACACACACACAAACACGCACACACATGCATACACACACTCACACTCACACACACTAACGTTCCCATGGCCCCACAGACTGAGCTTCCACTGTGGGAGGCTGGGAGGGGCTTTGGTGTGTCTGTAAGACAGTTTCCTCCCTGTTGAGACAGGTTCTCCTGAGGGGTGTCCACTGCAAAGCGACTGCACTTTGTGAAGGACATCAGAAACATCAGGCCCTGCCCCAGGTACTGTCAGGACCAGCAGAGGCAGCTGTATACCAAAACTGGATCGCACCGGAGGGCCACATCCTGGCCCCTGTTTGTGACCCTGTGCCTGGGTACCTGGAAGACACCAGCACCTGTGTGATCTGAGGAGACAGATTCTGGGAACAGATGAGGAAAACGATGGGACTCATCACACAGACAGACACAGACACACACATATATACCACACATACATACACACCACACACATCAAACACACCATACACACACAACCACATACACACATACACCACACATACCACCACATATACACATACCATGTGCACACACACACACACACCACACAACACACGCATCACACACATGCTTTATACCTCACCCACTACATGCACTATGCACACACAACATACATTCACATACACACCACACAAGCACACACACCACATATGAACACATACCCCATACACACACACACACACATGCACACACCACATGCACACACACCCTACATACACACTCACACATGCCCCTCATGTATGCACACACACACACCACACACACACTGGAACTACTTGGTATCCAGGGACTCTCCTGCCCCCAGGAGGCAGAGGGCTGCCCAGCAGAAGAGTCTGGAGCCCACCATGAACTGGGCAGGACTGGAAGGGTCTTTGTGCACATGAGCAGAGGAGAGAGATGTCCCTTCCCCACAAGGTAGGTGATGTCACTGTCTCATTGGTCCCCCACTGCCTCAGTTACACCTGTTCATATTATAACACACTTTGATTGGAATATGGATAAGCTCCTTTTTAAAATATCACCACATGAGTCCCTGCCCAGGGCCCCAGCGCTTCCTGGAAATGGAGACCACACACGACATCTGTAAGCGCATCTTCTCTCTCACCACTCACCCTGTCTGCCCGGCATGTTCACTGTGATGCACCGCCAGCACCTCAAATGCCCCACCAAGGACGATCTCATGATCTAGGTGTCCAAGTCTGCCATGGCCCCCCCACCTGCCTGCCACACCACTCAGTGGCATCATCCTTAGGCAGGGTGGGCTCTAGCAGCTGACTCGGTTTGGCCCTGGATGGGCTTGAAGGTGCTGAGATACCCAGGGACACAAGAGAGGAAATGATGCCTGGGCCAGTGCCTGAGTCGGGAGTTCCTATTCCTTCCCCTGGTCAAAGACCAATGTCCCCTTGTTCACTGATCTCCATGAAGGACTCTGTCCCCACAGCCCATGGCAAAGCCCTGCCACTCAAGTCTCCATGCCACAGAAACAGCTTCCTCTCATCTTCTTTATGGGGGAGACTCAGCCTCATCGCCCAAGAAACACTGATGTGTGATATGCAGTAGTGCATCTCCCTGTGCTTCCAGAAACCCACGAGGCTGTCACAGGGGATTCAGTTCTTCATTTCACAGCTAAGAGAACGCCCATTTGTTCCATGGTCACTGAAATATGTCCACTTTTATTAACTGGACAACTGTAGTTACAAACTCCTTATCCTTCAGGGAGATCGTGGGAGAGGGGTTCTAGAGGGCAGAGCACTTGGGAAAGAGGATGTGCAGGCAAGATGACTGGAGCTCTGTGTGTTTGTTGCTAGCCCAGGGACACGTGGCTGAGCCTCCAAACTAGGTCCCGGCCATCTGAGAGTGGTCTGGAGCTGGACCTCAGCAGAAACAGAGGCTCTTTGCACATCCCACCCACGCTCCAAGGTCCCCTGGCTCAGTGGGCTGTGGGGGCCTCCTGAGCCCTTTCTGTGAGGGGCTGAGGTGGCCGTGCAGTGCTGTGGAGACACTGCTGCCACAGAAGTACACAGATGTCTACGAGGCGGCGGCTGACCCCAGCGTGAGGGGGAAGTGCTCTGTGTTTGATTTGGAGACACAGTGCCCGTCAGGGACATCGCCCTTATCGGTGATGCCAGCACCCACTGAGTTGTGGATCAGCAGCAGCCCCAGCCGCAGGTCTTGTCGGTACCAGTACATGTACTCATGGTTCTTGTCCTGGGCCTATTGCAGGGTCACATTCACTGTTGTCCTTGCGACCTTGTGCCTCGGGGTCTGAGTGACACCAGCCTCCATGTGTCCTGTGGGGACAGAGAGCAAAGCTGGTGCTGCAGCCACACGGAAAGGCTGGGGCAGGATCAGGAAATCCCAGGAGAGGGGAGGGTCCTGCCCAGGATGCACCTGCCCCCAGGACAGCCAGGACCACAGTGCACAGGAGGGGCATGGCTGGGGCAGGCAGCATGCAGGAACAGGCTGTGGAGGGATCCTTCTGAGATGTCACCCTTCAGCCCTAGGCGGGCCCCAGAGCCGCCTACCACAGTGGCCACACCCCTTTTTGCCCCCCGGAAACCTCAAGTCAACAATAAACATGCAGCCAACAGCTCAGAGTGGGAGGAATGCCCTCCTCTGAGTTCGCACAAATCTTATAAGTAGATGAGTTTGCTGTGAAAGTTAGGGTTCTACATCAACTTGGCTGGGCCATGATTCTCAGTGATTTGATAGTCGTATGATGTTGGGATCACTTCCATGATGAGATTTGATGTTATGTAATCACCTCCATGATGAGATCTGCTGTGAGTACCCAATCAGTTGAAAGGGAGTTTCCTCATGTGTGTGGCCTGCATTGAATACAAGTGGGTATTCTGGCAAGGCTTGTCAGCTTTTGCTCCTTCTAGATCCTGCAGCTGGCTCCTGTTCCTCTGACCTCTGGTTCTTAGAACTTGAGCTAGCAGCTTACCTGTGGTCTTGGCTTACAATCTTGGGAGCCGTAGAACTTCACAGCATGTGAGCAAGAGCTCTGCCCTCTGACCTGTCGATCTTGGGTTCACCAGCCCCTGTAGCTACAGGAATCAGGAGAATCCTCTATTCTGACCCAAGGACTTGGGACATTCCAGGGTCTACAAATGCATAAGCCATTTCCTTGATATAAATCTCTCTATATATATTTATTAATTCAACACGTCAAATCTATTCTTGAGATGGTCTCTAAATTTAGGTGGGTTATACTCAAGGTCGTACTTTGGCTCTCCTGGACTTGTTCTAATTTTCTTCAGTTTCAACTTGAACTTACATATGAGTAATTGATGGTGTGTTCCTGACTAGGCCCCTGGCCTTGTTCTGACTGATGATATTGAGGTTTTCCATTGTCTCTTTCTACAAATGTAGTCAATTTTCTTCCTGTGTATTCCATCTGGTGAGGTCCATGTGTATAGTCACCATTTATGTTGGTGAAAAAAATTATTTGCAATGAAGAAGTCATCGGTCTTGAAAAATTCAATCATGTGATCTCAGGCATAGCTTCTATCACCAAGGCCACATTTTCCAACTACTGATCCTTCTTTGTTTCCAACTTTCTTAGTCCAATCACCAGTAATTATCAACGCATCCTGATTGCATGTTCGATCAATTTCAGACTGTAGAAGTTGTAAAAAACTTCAACTTCCTCATCTTCAGCCTTAGTGGTTGGTGGGTAAATTTGAATAATAGTCGTATTAACTGGTCTTCCTTGTAGGCTTATGGATATTATCCTATCACTGACAGCATTGTACTTCAGGATAGGTCTTGAAATGTTGTTTTTGACAATCAATGCAACGTCATTCCTCTTCAAGTTGTCATTCCTGACATAGTAGACTATACGATTGTCTGATTCAAAATGACCAATACTAGTCCATTTCTTCTCACTAATGCCTAGGATATCAATGTTTATGCATTGCATTTCATTTTTGGTGATTTCCAATTTTCCAATATTCATACTTCATACATCCCAGGTTCCAATTATTAATGGATGTTTACAGCTGTTTCTTCTCATTTTGAGCTGTGCCGCTTTAGCAAATGAAGGTCCTGAAAGCTTGACTCCATCCACGCCAATCGATTGGAAGAGATCCATATTTATGCCTATTCCCAAGAAAGGTGATCCAACTGAATGTGGGAATTATTGAAGAATATCATTAATATCACATGCAAGCAAAATTTTGCTGAAAGTCATTCAAAAGCAACTGCAGCAGTATGTTGACAGGGAACTGCCAGAAATTCATGCCAGAGTTAGAAGAGGATGTGGAACCAGCGATATCATTGCTGATGTCAGATGGATCCTGGCTGAAAGCAGAGAATACCAGAAAGATATTTACCTGTGTTTTATTGACTATGCAAAGGCATTCGACTGTATGGATCATAACAAATTATTGATAACATTGCAGAGAATGGGAATTCCGGAACACTCAATTGTACTCATAAGGAATCTGTACATGGATCAAGAGGCAGTCATTTGAAAAGAACGAAGGGATACTGCATAGTTTAAAGTCAGGAAAGGTGTGCGTCAGGGTTATATCCTTTCACCTTACCTATTCAATATGTATGCTGAGCAAATAATCTGAGAAGCTGGACTATATGAAGGAGAACGAGGCATCAAGATTGGAGGAAGACTCATTAACAACCTGTGTTATGCAGATGACACAACCTTGCTTGTTGAAAGTGAAGAAGACATGAAGTACTTACTCATGAAGATCAAAGACCATAGCCATCAGTATGGATTTCACATCAATGTAAAGAAAACAAAAATCTGCACAACTAGACCAATAATCAACATCATGATAAATGCAGAAACGATTGAAGTTGTCCAGGACTTCATTTTACTTAGATCCACAATCAACACGCATGGAAGCAGCAGTAGAGAAATCAAAAGACTCATTTCATTGGCAAATCGGCTTCAAAAGACCTCCTTTAAGTATTGAAAAGCAAAGATGTCACCTTGAGGACTTAGATGCACCTGACCCAAGCCATGGTGTTTTCAATTACCTCATACGCATGGGAAAGCTGGACAATGAATAAGGAAGACAGAAGAAGAATTGATACCTTTGAATTGTGGTGTTGGCAAAGAATATTGAATATACCATGGACTGCCAAAAGAATGAACAAATCTGTCTTGGAAGTACAACCAGAATGTTCCTTAGAAGCAAGGATAGTGAGACTACATCTCACATAATTTGGACGTGTTATCAGGAGGGATCAGTCCCTGGAGAAGGACATCATGCTTGGTAAAGTAGAGGGTCAGCTTAAAAGAGGAAGACACTCAACAGTGGCTACAATAATGGGCTCAAGCATAGCAACGATTGTGAGGATGGGACAGGACCGGGCATTGTTTCATTCTATTGGGCATAGGGTCACTATGAGTCAGAACCAACTTGACAGCACCTAACAACAACAGCAACAATATATATTTATATGCTTTACTAGTTTTACTTCTCTAGAGATCTGCGCCAAAGATACTTTCCTTTTTGCAAAACAATTTGTAATTCTGTATATCTTATCCCGTGAGGACGGAATTCCTCCAGTGCAGAAAGCCACTCCTTTCTCTCTCGTCACCCATAGGACCCACACATGGTCTCTGCCGTGAAGTTGTCAGGAAAGTATGGCATGACAATGACACATGGTGCATGACCTATGACCCTCCCACTCCAGCACATCTGGGCCTGGAAAGGAGAAGCCGATGCAGGGATAGTTCTGCAGAGTGGGGTGGGGAGCCCACAGGTGCTGGAGGAATGGAGGCCAGTGTGACTTCTCACTCTGCCATTTGTGATCTCTATGAGCAGGAGACTGGCTTCATCTCTGTCAGCTGTGGTTCTGCAGTTGAATAGACAGTCACACAGTCCTTCCTCGGCACACTTCTGTCAGCACTGACACATGTTACATGGATGAGCAGAGGAAGGAGCGTCTGGGGAGCCCTCAGCTCAGCAGGCATGAGCTCAGCCTGGGGGCCCCCTCGACTATCACCGTCACTTCCTGAACTGGGCACAGGGGTTTGTGCACAGGGTGGCGGGGGCTGTGCAGGGCTGTGCCAGGCTGCTGGCACAGAGGAACACGGCTGAGTCCCCTGGCTCCAGGGCACTCAGGGTCAGCTCCGAGCGGTAGTCAGAGAACTGTTGGCCTGAGAACCGGTCTGGGATGTCGCCTTTGTCTTTCTCTTTCCCGTAGTAATATTGAAGGAGGAACTTTGGACCCTGACCCTGGGCCTGCTGGTACCAGTACACAGAGAGGTGCCCAGAGAGGGGGGAACAGCTCAGTGTCACCTGCTGTCCTCGTGCTTTGATCAGGTGTCTTGGGGTCTGGGTGACTCCGGAATCCACTGGGCCTGTTGGAGGTGTGGAGGAAATGAACACAGGAGGGGCTGATAGTGCTCCCCCAGGGGAGGCCCAGCTCCGAGTGGAGGGGCCCACTATCCACAGGACTCACCTGCCTGCAGGAGGCAAAGCAGCACCCAGCACCAGAGCTGGGAGCCAGGGCCACTGGAGTAGGGCAGCATCGCTGCTTACTCAGGGTTTGGGCCTCTGGGGTGAGAGAGCTGGAGTCCTTGGCCTCTTTTTCCTGACTGGGACTGCCCTATGATGTTACTGTCTGATGTCATTGTCCCTGCAGGTTGAGGCTTTAGTGACCCTCCCCACCCCACCTCACAGACTCCCACTCCATCTGCAAAGCGTTTTACAGCGGGGGCTGGGTCCCCACCCAATGTCTCAGGTGTGTCTCTGATTCCTGACTCCTCTGCCTGCCCCTGACACGCCTCCCCCTCCTCCTCCCACATGGCTGTGGAGCCCTTTGCTCCTGCAGAGCTCCATTCTAGACTCAGAGCCCTGTGCCCGCTGTGGGGGAGGGTCCCTGACTAAACTTGTCCCAGCGCTGCCCGGGGCCCCAAATCATCCCTCAAATGGGGCTCAGCCCAGGTTTGTCTTTATACTTCCTGTCGCAGGCAGCATTTCCAGCCCTCCAAGATGGACCAGGATCTGGTCTATGTGATCATGTCCAAAGGGGCCTAAATGAGAAAACCAAACCCAGAGCCACTGAGTCGTTTCCGACTCATGACGACCTCTTGTGTGCAGAGTAGAATGCTTCAGAGGGTTTTCTTGGTCATCTTTATGGATGGAGTCCCTGGGTGGCGCAAACAGCTAAGGGCTTGACTACTAGCCAAAAGGATGTCAGTTCAAACCATCCAAGAGATGTCTTGAAGGCAGACCTGGTGATCTGTTTCTGAAAGGTCACAGCCTTGAAAACTCTATGGAACAGTTCTACTCCGCACACTTGGAGTCACCATGAGTTGAAATCCACTCAATGACAGCTATTTATGTATCTATCTATAGATCTATGTATCTATGTACATATGTATCTATGTATGTATCTACGTATCTATGAATCTATGTATCTACATATCTATGTATGTATGTATCTATCTATCTGTCCATCTGTCCGTCTGCCTGCCTGCCTGTCTGTCTGTCTACCCTCCCACACACCCATCTATCCATCCATCTATGTATCCATCTATCTATCTAGAAAAGATCCCTAAGTGACACAGATTGCTCTCAGCTACTAACCTAAAGGTTGGTGGTTCAAATCCACCCAGAGACACCTCAGAAGACAGGCCTGGTGATCTGCTTCAGAAAAGTCACAGCCTTAAAAACCCGATGGAGCAGTTCTACTCTGCACACTTGTGGTCCCCATGACTCAGAATCCACTTGACCACAAATAACAATAAAAATTTTTACGGAAGTAGACTGACATGCCTTTCTTTGGTGGCACCCCTGGGCGGGTTCAAACTACCAACCTTTAAGTCAGTAGCCAATTGCAAACCATTTGCACCACCCAAGGTCCTTATTGATACACATAGCAAGTGGAGAACAAGGCTTGGAGGATGGACTTTGTCTTTTAAAAAGTAACAATTTTTTTTAACATTCTGCAATGCGCAGGAACACAAGTTCTACCTTCTGTATTCAGCATTGCAGGAAAGTCAACAGAAGACGAGTAACATGCTGTGTGAACATTAACTGCACGTGTTGGGGAGCTAGAATCCTAAGAGAATCCAATGACTCACTCTCTGCCCTTTCCGACCTGGGGAGTTGGCCATGGGGGCATTTGCTTCATATAAACAGAGTGGCTGATAGAAAAAAGACTGCAGATGTGGAGCCAGGGGAACCCTTACGGCCTGCGATTGTGAATTGGTACAACTTTGAAAAACTGCTCCAATGATCCTAGTAAAGGTAAACACTTGTCTACCCTAAAACCAGTTGCCCAGTTGCTGTTGAGGTGACTCTGACCCATGGGAACCCAGTGTGTGTCAGATAGAACTGTGCTACAAAGGGTTTTCAATGGCTGATTTTTTGGAAGTATATCACCAAGTGTTTCTTAAGAGACACCTCTGGGTGGGCTCGAACCTTCAATCTTTCACTTAGCAGCCAACCATGTTAACCATTTGCATCACCCAGGGACTCCACATCTACCCTACGCATCAACAATTCCACTCTTGTTTATACCTAAGGGAAATGAATGTATTTGTCCTCAAAGACTTGTGCAAGGATGTTTGGAGAAGCTTTCTTCACAATAGCTGAAGACTGGAAGCAACCTAGATATCCATCCACAGGAGAATGGATGAACACACTGTGGTATACTTATACAATGGCACTATCCTCAAAAATGAGAAAGAATACATTATTGATACACACTACACATGAATACGTTTTAAAAATATCTTTCAGGAAAAGAAGTCAGTAAAAAGTGAATATTTACTACATGATTCCATTAATATGAAGTTCAAGAACAGACAAAACAAATTTATGGCGATGTTGTTGTTGTTAGGTGCCATTGAGTCAGTTCCGACTAACAGTGACCCTATGTACAACAGAATGAAACACTGCCTGGTCCTGGGCCATCCTCACAATTGTTGCTATACTTGAGCCGATTGTTGCAGCCACTGTGTCAATCCATCTTATTGAGGATCTTCCTCTTTTTCACTGACCTTCTACTTTACCAAGCATGATGTCCTTCTCCAGGGACTGCTCCCTGCTGATAACATGTGCAAAGTATGTGAGGCCAAGTCTCACCATCTTTGCCTATAATGAGCATTCAGGCTGCACTTCTAAGACAGATTTGTTCATTCTTCTGGAAGTCCATGGTATATTCAGTATTCTTCAGCAACACAATAATTCAAAGTCCTGGTGATCTACTTCTGAAAATCAGCCAATGAAAACCCTACAGATCACAATGGTCCAGTCCAATTCACAACTCATCATGAGGATGGTGCAGGGCAGGGCAGCATTTCATTCTGTTATTCACGGAGTTGACATGATTCGGGGGAAAACTCCACAGCAACGAAAAGCAACAACAACAACCCAATAACACTAAAGGTCAGGTGACTTTATGTAATTGTTTTAGAGTTGGAGAATCCTAGGTCACTCCAGGAGTTTAAAGCTGCTCAGTGACCTCCTACTTTGAAAAGAAAATGAGCAATAAATTTCAGGTTGAAAGTGATTGCCCTCTGCTTCACTCAGATACCCAGATTAATTGAAGAAGTAGCATGAAGTGTTATATACATTCTTTCTGTCTCACACAGAAACACACACATGCGCTTGTGACACATGCACACTCGCACGCATTTGCACACACATGCACACACACACATGCACGCGCACACGCCTGCACGCACACACATGAGCACACACACAAGCACAAACACACGCAAGAACACAAGCATACATGTGCCTGCACACACACACACTCACGCTGGAGTTCCCATGGCCGCACAGACTGAGCTTCCACTGGGGGGAGGTTGGGAGGAGCTTTGGTGCCTGTGTAAGGCAGCTTCCTCCTGGATGAGAAAGAGCCTCCTGAGGGGGGTCCACCTGCACTGCGACTGCCCTTTGTGCACAGGGAGCGGCTGGCTGTGCAGTGCTGAGGTGCTGGGAGGTCTGTTTGGTACTGGACGAACCCAGGGTGGGGGAAATGCTGGCAATCTTGGAAGAAGACCTGCTACCCAACTGCGACATGTCCTTTGCAGTGCTGTCAAAGCTCCCTGAGAAGTGGGTCAGCCTCAGGCCCTGACCTGGGGTACGTCCATACCAGAACATTGCAAAAAGGCCCATGTCCTGAGAACACTCCAGGTCATCTTCTTCTCTGCCTGTGTAATATGGTATCTTGGTGTCTAGGGGATTCCCGCGTCTGTGAGACCTGTTGGAGAGGCTGACATGGTGATGACAAGGCTGTGAAAGTTGCTTGACCCTGTGAAGATGGGGAGAGCTGAGAGCCAGGGCTTTGCATGCCCAGGACAGAGGTTACTAGAGAGGCTCAAAGGTCACCTGCTCCCAGCAGACAAAAGGTCACCCAGAGGAGCTCAGGGCCCAAGTGGGTCCAGGGCAAGAGAGGCCACCTAGTCCAGTGCTCTCCTCTTTCTCCTCCTTTTCTTCTTCCTCATACTCCTTCTCTTCTTTCTCCACCTTCCCTTCCTTTTCCTCCTTCTGCTCCTCCTCCTCTTTTTCTTATTCCTTCTTCTCTTCCTCCCCCTCTCCTTCCTCCTTCTCTACCTTGGAGCACCTTCTCCAATGGACAGTTGGGTCAACCTTCCCCCAGGATCTCAGGCCCAGGCCCCTCTGACTGCAGAAGGACAGGGTGAGGCTGGTGCACTGAGTTCAGGGTAGACCTTACCCGGTGGTTTCTCACCTTCTTCTCTTTGCACCTGCCCCTGGCTTCAAGGCTCTGGGGCCAGAGTCCTCCCACCATGGGTCTCATTAGCATTTAGAGGGGCCTCCCACCTACCCCAGAGCTGTAGGTCACCTAACAGTGACTGAGAGCTTCATACACTTGCCTAATGTTGGATGCAGTGAAGTTTTTCTTAACTCTTCCCCTCCCAGGCAGCTCTTCCAGACCCTCCCAGAGCCCCCTAGACCTCAGTGGTACCACAGTGCCATCTTGTGGCCTACAAGGGAGGCGTCATTATTGTTTATCCCTTCTGGGCTGTCCCAAGGGATTCTGGGAAGTGTCTGCATAGTCAAAACCAAAACCAAACCATTACCTTGGATTCTGACTTCTGACGACCCCATGTGTCACAGAGTAGAACTGAGCTCCATAGTGTTTTCTTGAATGTAATCTCTACAGAAGCAGATTGCCAGGCCTTACTTCTGTGGTTCTGTTGAGTGGAATCAAATGACCAACTTTTCATTTGGTAGTTGAGTGCAAGCTTGTGCACCATCCAGGGACTCTGCATAGTCAGCAGAATGCATACTCCAGAATATTCTGGAAGTTTTACAATCAGCGTCCTCAAACTCTAGTCCCAACACTAGTCCTAACCCTATATGATAATTAATGTTATGTGTCAACTTGTCTAGGCCATGATTCTCAGTGGTTTGGCAGATGTTACGTAATCATCCTCCAGTTGTGATCTGATGTGAGCAGCCAATCGGTTGGAAGGGCAGTTTCCTTGGGGGTGTGGCCTGCACCCAATATATATGGATGTTCTGGCAAAGCTCTTGCTCTCTGGATCTTGTACTCATCTCATGGTTGATTCGTGTTGCTGGAGAAGCCTTCAG